ATATCAGTCACGATTATTGATGACGATGAGGTCGAAGAAGTGCACGATTTTCGTACAGAAGTCGTCAAGAACACACCGCAAAAGGAGACGAGTGTACATCAACAACGACGACAGTTTGTTGTTTACAACAAGGACAACAATGATGACGAGTTTGACGAACTTGAAGAAGAAGTGCCTGAACCGAGAGCCCCAACTCCCTCTCAATCCAAAAAGCGAAGCCGAGAAAGGGAGGAACAGCAGTCGAGTCCTGAATTTGATTATGATGGGCCTTCTGATGTAGAAAATAGTGAGTTTTCTGCACGTAAAAAGGCAAAAGGAGACCATGCCACTACTCCTTCAAGTAGCAGCTCAAACAAGAGGAAACGGGATGTTGCAGAAAAGGTGCCTGTAGTTGTGCGATTCATGTTGACTGGTATGATTGGTGAGGAGATTGAACCTGCGTCATCGGTAAGTCGGTGAAGATTCCGTAACATTTCGCCATGTTTTTGTTGGATTAACGTTGGCGCTGGTGCGTTGGTTCTAGGCCTTGATCGAATTAGGTGGAGTTGAAGTGGACCAAATCAAGGACTGTACTCATTTAATAGCCAGCAAGTTTACGAGATCACAGAAGTTGTTGGTTGCATTATCGACTAGGAATGTCAAGTACATTCTGGACTTGAAATGGATTAAGGAATGTAAAAAGAAGCATTCTCTTGTTGGTAAGAATCCGTTGCTTAGAGATGTCTGCATTAGTGATATGGGAATGCTCTGATTGACTATTTTTTTGTTCCACTAGATCCACAGCCGTTTATTTTACGAGATGCAAAGAGAGAGAAAGAGTTCAAATTCAATTTTGAGGTGTCTCTAAAAAGCAACCTTCGAGGACACGTATTTGATAATGTCACGATATTGGTTGATCAGTGTGGTGGTTCGCAACAGATGGTCGAAGTATGGAAAACGGCAGTGGAAGCTGGAGGAGGAGAGGTAAGCTCGAACCAAACAAAAACACGAGAAGCCATTCAGCATGTTTTAGCAACTGGCTCACACTACTTTGCTTCTTTAGCTTATTTTAATACCCTCCATACAAGGCTGGAAGGACCGCTTAATTAAAGGCCCTACGAATAATCGCGAGGCCTTGGTAGTCGAGTCGCCGAAAAAGTCGAGCATTGAATTGAAAAACTTGCTCAGACGATTAAAAGTACCTGCCTATGATGTCGGTGTTATAATGTCTCAAATTCTTCGACAGGCTAAGCTAGCGCCTGAAGAGTTATCACAGTTCGTTGTCAAATAAATGTGTATACATTGTGGATGGTGGTTGCGTTTGATTTAAAATGTATGTCAATGAGTTGGATTTTTCGATATTCTTTGTAAGCTAAGACAAAAGCATATACAATACACACAAATATACAACAATGATAGTTCAGTATTTCTGTTGTTTGGAGCGAATGAAACTATGTTTGCATACAGAACAAATTTATTCTTAAACAGAGTATTAAATTTATGATTTAGCTGAAGGGGAAGTCCTTGCACGTAGCGAGGCAGCTCTGGAGGGCGTCTCCGGATTTGGATTAACCCCAGTTGTAATCGATTCCACCATCATCTTCCAAACAGGTGTTGGCACCGTCTCAATCTCATCAATCTGGCTTTGACTATAACTCGGTATCGTTAACGGATGCAAGTTTCGTGGTGTCATCTCATCATCCTCATCATCTAACGTTGGACTTGCTAGCTCTCCTGGTGATCGTGGAAGTCTCTTGTTGCTTCCCGGGTATGTAGGCTTCAAAGACCGTGATCTGGCAGGTGGTATAGGCGGATGCTCTGATATTGGTGTGCTTGTTATCGATGCGTTGAAAGGTGGTTTGGAATCAACTTGGAAACGGACACTGTCTATTGTCTTGTGGATTGGTGATTTGATGTCCATTGTTGGTGTTATTGCCCCTGATAGGACATCGTTGTGGCGGTTGTGGGGGTTGAACGAGGCGTGGAGCTCTGTTTCATTGTTCTTGAGAGCTACACGCGCGTTGATGTAGCGTCTCATTAGCACGACGGTTTCGAACAGTTGTTGGGATTTGTAGCCGAATAAGATTGCTTTGAAACCAAAGTTTAGGATGAGGACTTGGTTGAATGAGACTGATTGAGCTAATAAAACCAACCAGTTTTTAAGATTATTGCAGATCTGAGTTGCAGCGCAGCAATTTTACTTACTAACGATTATGACTGACAGGATCAAGACTGGTGTATCTCTCACTAATAAAGCACTTCGTTACAATATTCTTTTGCCTCTCAAGCGAAACGAATACTTACACATTAGAGGAACAGCTCTAGCAACAGATACAACAACAATCTGTTGGAGCATCTTGAATGCGACTTGAATTCCAAGCTCACTGAGTCCAGTGGACTTCATCTTGAAGTAGTGAACGAAGGGTTGGCAGGACACAATAGCAACGTCCACCTCCTTCCAAATTGTAGGGAAGGATATCTGTAAGAAGGCGAGATATCCATCCAGGACAGTTGAAATTGTGGCGCAGACTGTTGACGAAATTTTCAAGTTAGTTGAGCTTCGATTCGGAAATTCGCTTAGTCCACGAGTTCTGTTTCTTCTTTCAAGTTACCTGCGCCTATTATGATGACACCCATGTAAGCGCTTGATAACATAGCTCCGGCTGGCAAGGTTTGAAATGACACAAAGTCCTATATTGCGAGGCCTAGTCAGTTTCAATGTTGTTTTGCTTGAAATCACAACGCTGTTCAATACCAAAGCGACCTAAAAGTTTGCGAAAAGAAATCAGATTACATTTTCGATTATGCAAAACCAATCGTAGTTTCTTACACCAGCTACACTCATTATCACACTCCCCATATACTTGAGAATGATCAGATTCGTCTCGTGCCTAGTGAAAAGCAGTCCCAGAATCAATTTGCGTTGTGAGGATCCTCCGTTTGACGGCCTTCTCCTCAAAGTGATATCTCCTTGGTTTATCGCAGAAACACTTTTCGCCAATCTCCTCCAGTAAATCACAAGTCCCAATATCGTAATGAGGATAAGACAGCCGGCTGTGATTGTGCCTGCTGTGAAGAGGCTTCCCAAAGTGTTCTAATAGCCAAAAACGATTGAGTCCACTACACGATACCTTCTCACAGAGGTATTGACATACGTTCTTCTCATTGGAAACGTCTCGCTGCACTGCATCCCAAAGTATAAGTCCCGTGCTGCATGAAAGTGTGCCCAAAATTGGATTGACAAAGTTGGTAATGTATGAGGAAGCAAGTGGCTCAAAATTATATGAGCGAGCAACTGATGCTGATAATGGATCCCAGTAGCACCAATACATGTCTGTTTTAAGTTAAGGTTAAAATTCAATCATCCTGAAGCTTTTGATGTAATTCGTGCAGGCCAAGACTCACATCTGAGTAATTCATATGCTATTTCACAATTTGAAGGGAATCCTTTCTGTATAGCAAAATACGTGAGATATGATAAGGGATAGCTTTGATTCCCAGAACCATCCACAATCGAGAGGAAAAATGGAGCCGAGGTATTGACCACAGCCGATGAATAATCGTTCATAGCAGATTGTAGGGATAGAGAAGAAGGCGCAACGGCAACACCAGCCTTGTTGATAATATTGGCACTAGTCCCCAAATACTGTGAAACGTACTCCCACTCAATATACCCAATGCTGTATGGCGTCCTCAGAATTGTGAGTGCCATCATTGGCGAAGATGTTACAGCAGCTAACGCTCTTCTGAATATCAGCTTGTTGGTTGTGTTTGATGGTCTTATCGAGTTCAATGCTCGTATGATCGTGTCGGTAGGTGAGCCTTGATCAGCTCTCACAAAGAAATTGATTGTCCTTCCACTGAGTTGATCGGCGAGATTAGGATTTGTGGCTACGATTGTTGGATCGTCCCATTGAGTGATGTTGCCGGTAAATATGTTATAGAAGGCATCTCGAGTCAGGTTTAAAGGGTAACTCGAGTTAGGAATGTAGTACATCAATGCGACTGCGTTTGCCAGCATTGGTATCGTGTAAATGACCTCATTCAATTGACTTGCTGTACTCAATTCAGATGTCGAGAGTGGAACATCACTTGCAGAGTAGTAAATTGGGTAGTTGTTGGGATTGTTTGGGTAAATGAGCGACTGGTCAATTAGTTGAGTATTGATCCCTCCGCTCAAATAAGAAGTCGACAATTGAACGGAACGACTTGTCTGCGTGGCCGGATACAGATCTGACCTGGTGTACGTGATTGAGTTAGTAAACATTAAATTAATTGGCTTACAGGACGAAAATTCGAAAATTCTTACCATCTTTGATACACTTGCGATGCTAACGTTGACCCAGTGCCAGTTATCTGTATAGTGCAAGCAGAACTAACAATTAAAGCAAAGAGGCACGTAAGGCAACGTAGCACTCTCATTTCGGAAGCATTGGTGGCCAAAGAAGGTTGAGTTTGACATGCCAATCGCTTTTTCTGCGCAGCATTTTAGACCTGTCTGTAGATTGGTCATCCAAGTCCTCTTTGCTTGATGACAAAATACATGGTTCACTTCATCCCGCATCAATAAGGCTTACGACGCGTGCGGTTGGGCCCTATTTTCTGAGTCCCATGCAAATCAATGGTTTTGGACGCAACTGTGAAGATCGAAGAGATTGCGTCGTAAAGGAGGTGATAAAATTACTTACATAACCACGATCTTATTTTAGTCTTGATTTGAGGTATATATTGCTCATGACTACAGCATGAAGTTTGAGATCATATTTGAATAATGCGGTGAAGGAACGACCACGAGGAAAAGTGTTTGCAAAGTTCGACGTCCCTTAATATTACGAGCGGAAAATCTATCCCAGAGCTGAACAATACGACTTACAAAGATTGGTTCAGAACTCTTGTGTTCTGACACCGCCTTCCCATTCTTCAGCCCAAATCATCAGCAGCTTTCGCAATTCGTAGAGAGAACTACGTCAACCGTGTTTCCTCTAAATAAAAGTGTAGCTACGAGGCTTTTAAGAGCCAATATGACTACTGCCATAAAGAAAGAAAGTGGTAAGTTCTGGCAACACTCTGTATCCATTTAATTTGTTCGGACGACACTGATCTTACCATTCAAATTAGTATGGGACTATCCTCGGTAAGGTCGTTTGGGACATTTACATCACAGTGGCTGACCTCGATTCGCTTTCTCTAGTCCGCCGGCTATCGAACCGACAAGACATCACTTGAAAGTGCTGCTTGATGGAATCGTACTAGCTGATACAACCCATGCTTACCGTATATTGGAAACCTCTCATCCACCAAGTAAATATGTGTTCCCGCTTGTCTGTTTACTGGACGCTTCTATTGCCTCGACGACTTACAAACACATTCACCGACACTGTAGCCTACTACATTCCACCTTCTGACGTTAAAATGGAATATTTCAAACAGAACGCACGATCAACGTTTTGCGAATGGAAGGGAGCAGCTCGATACTATGATGTTGTGGTGAATGGCAAGACAATCAATTCACGTGTGTGGTTTTACCCACAACCAAGCTCAAAGTATGCTGCTCTGAAGGATCACCTTTCATTTTATGCCACCCCATTTGATTGTTATGTGGACGATGAACGTGTTCAAGCTCAAGACGGAGATTTCTACGGTACGTCGGTTTGAAAGTCAGGAGATTATGTACCGGCAGAACTTGACGTTTGTTGACTAGGTGGGTGGGTTACTTCCTGGATTGATGGTGGCAAGAAGGGAATGAAGGTATGTCACATTTCCCTACTTGGCTGCTAGTTGGAACTTGTCCTAGATCAACAGCTATTCCAATGCTTGGTTTTGGAGCTAGTTCTGCAGGTCTTGTAAGAAACTGAATCATCACTATATAGGGAGGGCCAGGTACCTGGGGATGGTAATAAATAAAGTGACCGACCGCAGGGGTGATCTTGTCGAAATTGCGTATGCCAAGTGGTTGAATTTTTTGATCTCTGTAAAGTTGTGGTAGATCCATAGTTTTAAATTTTTAAAAATCATCATATGTTCGTCCAGAAATCATCAGGTTGCTCCATTCTCGTTCCGCTCGCTGTTTCTGTCATTAGTCATCGATTATCGATTGCAAAAAAAACGCTTCCGGTTCAACAATCCGCAATTACATTGTTTTAACAAAGATGAGCTCCAAGAAGCTGGAGGCTGCTGATGGAAAGATGGCAGAGGCACCCATGACATTCAAGGAGGCTGTCACAGTTACCTTGTTCATGCTCACTCTTTGCGGAGTGAGTTTAAATAGTGGACATTTTCTTGACAATTTCAACACCGGACTGATGTGATTTTGTCAATTTTTAGGCCATGTATCAGAATGTCAACAATGCTAGCGGTATGAAGCAAACGATCTTCTTGATCGCTGGCTCTTTCAATCGCAATATATCGAACCGAAACATCGTGCAAAAGACTAAACTAGTTTGATCATTAGGTCCAAACATTGCTTTGCCTGCTATCCAAGCTGCTTTAAACATTCCAGATGCCAATCTCCAATGGGTTGTGACGGCGTATCAACTAGCCTTCTCTGGAACGTTGCTTTTCTTTGGTAGATTGTCAGATCAAGTACGCTAAACCCATATTGTTTCTATGAAAGCCACGTATTTTTTAACAAGTTTGTGTGTCTCTAGGTCGGTAGAAAACGTGTCTTTGTAACTGGATTCGTTTGGATGTTGATATGGTCCATCGTGTGTGCAGTCGCTCCAAACTCAATAGTGCTCTTCGTTGCTCGAGCAATGCAAGGAGTCGCTACCGCTGCAACAGTTCCTGCAGCAAACGGAATATTGGGGGCTTACTTTGTGACTCCGAAGGCTAGGAATATTGCCATATCGATTTATGGATGCACTGCCCCAGCTTCTTTTGCTGTTGCTATATTTCTAGGAGGTATTCTGGTGGTCTCCTCTGTTGGATGGAGATTTGTATTTTACGTGCAGGCCATACTATCTGGCATTTTGCTCCTTCTTGGAATATTTGTATTGCCTGCAGATAAGGCAGGCATGACCTTTGACATGAAGTCATTTGATTCTGTTGGTGCTGCCTTGATAACAGTTACTGTGATTCTCTTCAACTTTGCTCTAACGTAAGTGCTAGTTTGGCCTTGACGTTTTGTCAGTTCTGCATCATAAGCATAGCCATTCAAGTCAAATCAAAATAGGTCTGCCCCCGGTTCTGGCTGGCTTACTCCATCAGTCATTGCCTGTCTGATACTCGCAATCTTACTGTTAGTCGGTTTTATCTTATGGGAGAAACGAGTCTCGAATCCTTTGGTTCCAGTCGAAGTCTGGCAAGCCATGGATGTAATAGTAATCATCGTCGCCGCATTTTTGGTCGGAATGGGCTTCCAGTGTTATGTGTATTATGTGAATCTATACTTCCAGAATATCACAATGAGAACAGCTCTTCAAGCAGCTATTGGCTTCATACCCATGGCCATGTAAGTAAATGGCTGTCACTTTTTGTATAGCGTGTCCTAATTTTCCTTTTTTTTAGATCTGGATTTGTTACAGCTCTTGCAACCGGGTTTATCGCAAACCAGCTCAGAAACTTTAGAAAGTTTATGATGATGTCGATACTGTTTATGACTACAGCGTGTCTCTTGTTTGCTGTAACTGGTGGAGACACTAACTATTGGACATTGCCTCTTCCATCGCTTATCCTGGTGTGGACACTTGGTTACATTCAATTTACTGCAGCTGCAACTGATCAAACTCTCCCCTAGATTGTTGGTGGTTATGACGTCTTCTTCAACATTTCTTCCATCATTTGCATATCAGCTGTAGCACCGAAATCGAGGTCTATTGCTGGTGGAGTCTTCAATACGGCGATATCGCTTGGCAATGCTGTTGGTTTGGCCATAGAATCAGCCATAGCCGACTCAAGACCCAGCTTGATACTTGGATATCAAGGTGCCTTCTGGTGCTCTGTAGCTTCAATGGTACTAGCTGCTATTGTCTTACTCTTCAAGTTTAATGGGGAGAATCCAGAGCTGCGACATCATCCACAAGATGAGGACGTTAGTTTCCATGGAGATGTGAAGGTTAACGAAGTAGAGCTGCAACATGATCAGAGTGGTGATGAGGCTGAAACACGAGATACGAGTATGGATATCACTGATACTACACTACCAAAACTTTAGAGCTTAATAATTAAGACCTTTAGAACAACTAAACCCATATAGAAAGCTTGTGAACCCAAATGTACATAAAGCATTTGCCAACCACTAAATATATATCGGTTCTACAACACTTAGAGAATTATTTGCATTATCAACACTTTTGACTAGGTGCTTTAGCTGAGAACAGAATAAATATGTGGTGTTTTGCCGACACTCAAACACGAGTTGATCTCCCATAGTTCGAAGTTGATCCGGGCAAAATGATGATATCTTACCATACAAGCGCGTTCCGGTCTCAGACCCCACACAATTCTGGTACTGGCTGTACGTCAACCTTCAACGGCAACATTGCAAAAACCGAAAAGTTACATCTGTAAGGGCAATCACACCGATTAGGGAAGAAGATGGCCCGCAAGAGAGGCCTGTTATCAGCCCTCATACTTCTTAGCTACATTACCTTGTCATATTCACTTCCGGCAGCTCACCCAAAACTGCAAACCACAGCAGGACTGTACGCTTATACAGCATGCGTAGGAGCAGGAGTCAGGAAGATAATAGAGGATCCCTATACTGGAGATATACTGTTTCTAGCGAGGGACGCTCAGCAGATCCTAGTATGTTATCCTGATACAGCGGAATCTCCGGATTCTGGCATGTACATGTCGACTGTCTTGATAGATGCTGGCAATGCCGGCCTTGGACTGTCTCATGGCATGCAAATAAGAGGAAACTACTTGTATGCTTCTTCTCCGACCACAGGTATGATCGCCAAGACTGCTGCTCTGGACTTAAACCGCTAGACCGTTAGTACTTTCAAGGTTCTGGACTCAACCGCTAACGCTTGCATCAATAGTGTATCGCTGGCCGTATATACCCGGAGCAAGATCCTTAATATCATCTATAGCCGGCACAGTCGTCGTATTCAACATCCCAAACTTGGTAGAGAACGGCGTCAACATGGGCCACTTTACTCGAGAACTAGCATTCGGCAACGACGGCTTCCTCTACATTAACGTAGGAGCTCTAAATAATATTGATCCAGATACCACAACACGAGATAAAGTGCGTCGATTCAACATGACTACCGACAACAACTTCCCAGCTGGTGGATATGATTTCTCACAGGGAGAAGTGTGGGCTGATGGATTAAGAAACTCGATTGGACTGTTTTTCGACCATATGAATCGGTTATGGGAGATTGATATTGGTCCGGATAATCTACTCAGGACGGATTTGAATGGAGGTGTTGATATTCATGAGACGAGTCCCGCCGAAGAATTGAATCTGTTGACTGGGCCTGCTGGGACTGCTGTAAGTGGATCAGCTGTTATTTTGTTTAGCCCTCTTAGCTCATCATTCGTTTCTTAGTATGGATATCCGTATTGTTTCACAGCTGGCAACATTACAGGCAGTTGGCAAAACTCTACCACTCGAGGAGTGCAATACGCCCAGGACGACTTTTATAATTGGAGGTAACTCATGGATGGTTAATCCATTATATACATGCCTAACGGTGCCTCTTTCTTCTTAATTTGGGTTTATTTACATAGTGGCCTTTACGGTTAGTCTTGCTTGAATACGTTGTTGGCTCTTGCAGACAGAAAAAACCCTAAAATCCCTGCATTCCGTTTTACCAGATGTGGTTCAGAAGCAGTCAGACCCAGATGGTTGGTGTCGAAACACTGCCAACAATAAACCGCCAGCCTACACTTTTGTATGTGTCTGTGCTACTTGGATTCGATCGTTCAACGCGAAATTCCTAAATATTCTTGTTTACAATAGGAGGGACATGCTACCCCAATAGGCGGCCTATTCGTCTCATCCACAGCAAATGGATGTGGAACAACCGCATACTCTATACCCTGTGAATGGGTACACGATTTAATTGTCTCCTTCCACGGAAGGTAACAAAAAAAACTGTGACTTGTTGCTACAGTACAGTTGAAGCACCGGTTGCTAACCTTCCACCCCTCTTCACCCTACAGTTGGGACCGCACAATACCAGTTGGCTACTCTGTCAGAAAATACAAGATGTCGAACGATACCCATTATCTTCCAACAGGAGTAGAAGACCAGCTCGTAGCACAGATAAACTATCAGACGCTATGTGTTGGTAGTGGTTCTTCGTCATGCTTCAGACCAACTGGTGTAGTGGTTGATCGATATGGTGCCATGTGGGTTGGAAGTGATACCACGAATGAAGTGGTTCGAGTTATTGTTAATGGGAATGTGAATGTGAACTGAAAAGTTTGAAAAGCCACAAAAACACACCTTTGCACCTTTGGGATTCCTCATACATAAAATTCTGTTACATAGTCTTTTTGATACTTCTCTGTCTTGGTCTTTATTTTGCTTGATACGTTTAATAGAAGTCTTATACGCCTCAAATCAGCTCAATTGTGGCGAACTCAAAACAATCAGAAATCAAGGGTTGCAAATATAAAGTTATAGTTTTGAGGTTGTTTCAAACATGAGGGACCATTTCCTATGGTACATTTTTTTATACTAGTAGCATTTTTTTGTAAGAGCTTTATACCTTCTTTCCTCTCTTTTGATAAAAGATCATATGCGAATCTTCGAATGGCCGTGACAGCACATAGAGATGTTTGCGCTGTCGTGAAGTGATCCGCGACTACTTATGATAATCAAGGCTTAAATTAAAGCTTTGAGTGTATCTCCTTCTACTTCGGGTCTGAAGAGATTGTTAACGTGAAACTTAAGGTGACCTTTGACTACCAAATTAACTACAAATTACGTCCTTTACGGTCATCACGAAGTACTTGAAACAGACTTGAGCTCTTTGAGTTCCAAAATCCAAAATCATATATATGTACATTTGCCAACGTACAAATTACTAGTACCGGACCACCCAATATTTGTCCTCCCCCCTCCACTCCGGCACTCCTCTTCTACCATTCAGACAAAGTCCTCTTATTAAACACATTCACATGCTGATTCGAATTCCACGCCGACCCATCAACAACCAGAGCCTGTTCCTTCATCGTGATTCGTTCCTGTCTCCACGTATCAGATGCCCCGTCATCTATTGTAGCAAGAGCAGGCACAGGCGTACTATTATCAACATCAAAGTCCATTCCATGACTCTCAGCACAACTTGACGATGTGTCGGGCCGTAAGCTATGAAACCTGAGCTGCTGATACGCAGTTCTCAGGTCCACGTTTTCACATCTAGCTACACTGGCAATCATTTCATCTACGAGGGTATCGTCTATGGCTTGGAGGAGATGCCACCACTGTTGAAAACGGGGAGTTAGGTATGGTCCACTCGCTTGTTTGAATTGAGAGAGACATACCTCCGAAACATCCTTTTGAGCGTATTCCCATAGGGCCTCGCCGAGCACGCCGGGTGATATACCAGATTGTAAGAGAATGGAGAGGACTCGTGGTGAGTAGTCACAGTAATACGAGTGTGACGATGCAGTGAGCACTGGATACAGGCCTCGTGGATCTAGCTGCAGCAAAAGTGCGAATACGTGCGACGACCGCCACATCCTGGAAGAAGTAGTATGAGGGTGAGTGGATCGAGCTGGAGCAGAGTCGTTGCTGACGTTTTCGGACTGCGCAGTCGACTCTGAGTTTGCAACAAGCACCAACAAGCAGGGTAAAAAGCATCGTTTACAGCGTTCAAATCTAATGCAAACATACTTTATATTCTCCAGATGCTTCATCTCCACCTCGATACAGTTCAATGCATTGCTCAGCGTCCTGAACTCGTCCATGTCAACTTTCAACGGGTGATGTATGATGATGCCAGTGGATGGACCAAGTCCAAGGCCAAGATTCTGGGCATATCCATCAAATGTCCCACTAATAAATACAGTTGCAAAACAGATTGGTTGGAGTTTGCAAAGTAATGTTTAGAACTTTTTTGTTTTGTTTACATGAGAGACTTACTTGTGGTTGGAGCCTGGTGAGGGCGAGCGATTGGAATCGGAAGACGAACAGGTCCTTGCCCATGCAGCGATTATGCTGGCGAGAGAAGCAGATGCTGATTTGCCAGGATGCATGTCCTTCTCGTTCAGCAAGAGGGTGGTTTCACGAGTGTCAAGTCGGAGAGGACGACTTAAACGACAGTTTACATTTGAGATCTTGTTGAAATCCTTTGAAATCTACTAGAACCGTCGTATAGCATCGTCAGGATGAAGACTGAACGTGAAATCCGCACTATAACTTGTCTGTTGTAGCAGTCACGGCCTTTTCTGGACTCAATTGAACGATTGGCGAGCTAGGAGATCAATGATACGAATGGGATTATTGGTTTCATTCGAATCTGCCGCTTACTCTTGGTAACTTTGCTGTGTGATGTGGGCGTTTCTTCATTACTGCTGGATCAGACTTTCGCCTTAAACCAAGAGGGATGGGGGACTAAAGCCATTTTGAGGGATGATTTCATACTAAAATGCCCTATAAATTCATCCTGGCGCCTGTAGTCAAGCGACCGCTTAATAACCGTTCCCCACTCTCACCAAACAGCAACACGATGATTGATGGCCAACAAAGATTTTACTACTTTTGACAAAAAGGTAATAATGCACAACTAGTAACAAAATAAATACAAAACAGGTGCGGAGCTTTGTGCTTTCTACATTGAGAAAGCGCTGGCAGTGCTACTAGCACCAGTTCCTAATTGCTGACGAGCCTTACGTATAGCTCTAATAGCCAAAAGACTCAGTCCAAGACGATCCCAGTCTTCTTCTTCTAGATAATCCAAATCACCAGCAGTCATTATATCATGGCTCTTGAGCACATTAGCCCATTCACCAGCCTTCGTATCAGGTCTACGTAAATTACGAGCAGCCAGTAATACCAGTTCGTCAATTGAGAGGGTGATGGCTTCCTCACTACTCATAATACCAGGACTACTATTAATAGATGATGGATTTGTGATTTCATTCTTAGCCGGAATGTTGGCTTGTGGGCCAGCAGCAACCGTGTTTTTAGTGGCACCCGCATCCAACAAGGATGGAGTCATAACTATGCTTTTAGGCATAACATCATCATTCGGGCCCCAGAGTGACATTAAATCAATGGCTGATGCGGGCAGCATCTTTGGTGATGCTACGATGGAGTTCGGGCTGCTTGTTACAGGTGATATGGCGGATGACGACATGTTCATGGTGCCGACGGGGCTAGTGTTGTTATTTACAGCACTGTGAGTGCTAGAGGCGATACTACCAGATTGTGGCGATTCTACAGCTTCTTCTACAGTTACATATGGTCTGAGTTCGGGCGATCCTTCAGATAGCGCTACAGCTGAATCAGTTAATGACTGTGACGACACTTTAGAAGTGAGACTGTTGGGTGTATGTTCTTCAATAGCTGGCATTTGGATTATGGAGCTACGAGGTGATGATTGTGGAGAAGAAGTGGGTGATGTCTTCTTCTTGGGTTTAGATACTAGCACTATTTCCTCACTCATGATTCGATGCATGGCTGGTACATGAGCGGCAGCAGCACTAGATCGTAGTTCGTCATAACTGACTGATTTGTCCAGTCCTTTTCTAGCATCTAAACTTGATCTACTGCGTGACTCGACCGGTGGAGTGGGCGAATGACTACGTTTCATAGCCGAAGGAGCAGAAGCGACAGAGAAACTACTTGATCGTCGCATCTTCTTTTCTAGATAGTCTGAAGGCAGAGCTGGTACATCCGGGATTATGTCAAAGTCCATGTCGGCAGTGGATCGACGGACTCGTAAAGCTGGAGCACTTCCCGTCAATGGCGTATTGCGTTTCAGGGTGTGCATATCGGATATAGTACTCATAATAGAAGCACCAGTAGCAGTAGAGTCAATAGACAAACGACGCGAATCCCTCCTTTCGAATTCATCAGCCACGACTGGTGATGTCGGAGCCAATCCTTTCAGTGTAGAGATGTGGCTGGCGAGAGAATCGTCGTGCAAGTCCTGTCATAATACTGAATGTGAGCTGTATGCAAAGTCATGAGATGTAGGTCAAGATAACTTACAAGCTGCAAGAACCACACAATGACGGATCTAATTAGCAGCCTTACAGACTGAGCGGTATGACGAGCAGATTGGGCAATAATTTGCATATACTCTCGATCAACATGTTCGGGATATTCGTGTAAAGCACCCATAAAGTTGAGATAGTTGCTTACAAACTCTTTTACCAAGTGGCGTGAGCTCTCGTATTCTGGCGAAAAATGGTGGACGTGTCAGCTATTTTTGATGACTCTTAGAAAGGCAGCAATGTCTCACCAGAGAAATAAGCAGCCAAATCAGTCTCATTTCCCATCTCGTCCAAGAGTTTAAACAGCCGATCTAGACGTCTTACTAGCCGAGTACCGTATCTCTCAGCTTGATCCAAGATACTGCGATCCAAGAATCGAGACAGCCGCGAGCAAGTCTTGAACACACTCGCTTCAAATGAATCGACTGCGGTAAAGACTTCACCCAATCGTTCCTCCCACAGAATGGCATCATCACCTTTACGCCAGTTTACACCACGAGGCACTGGCACATATGTAATAGATCGAATTTCCCAAGCATTAGCAAGCTTGACACAGTATCCATGCCAGCATCCAATCGTCTTTGACCCTTCCTCTTCGACTTCTACAGGATCACTAGTAATAGGTCTTCGACATCCTTCACAAAAGACCAAATCCTTTTCTCTTGTCAAGACATTACTGGTTTTACTAGGGCTTTTAGCAGCTGTGATTGCTTTCAGACGGTTCTGGTAGTCGGTTTCACAGAGCAAGATTGGAGTTCCATCTGGTCCTTCCACGAATTGGTTTGGATGGACTGGTACTTTACAGTCTTTACAGACGACACAAAAGGCATGGTATGCGCTGCCAGCAGTTTGTACCAAGTCTTCGATATTGTCTATAGGGAGAGCACAGATGGTGCAGTCTCTGTGTTTACCATAAGGAGTTTTGGGGCTTTTGGGAGATTCTTCCTTCCGTTTCGAGAAGGCTTTAAGCCAGTTCTGAGAATTGAATAGTATGAGTTTCCATTCAACACCTTGAGTTGCTCAATAAAACGACCAAAAACAAACCGAATGCAACTGACCTTGCTAGCCTGAGCAGTCTGAGTGATGGTTTCTTTTCTCTTGGTTCCGACATCCTCCAACCATTTCATAACATCTCCTTTACGTTCTTGCAGCTCATCCAGCCAATGAGTTCTTCCTTGCGAAGGTTGTTTGGAATCCAGTACATCAAATCTAACCTGTTTACGACCAGATGGCGTGGTAGGTTCCTGTTCAAATTGAAGCGACATTCGTTTCAGCTCTTTAGAGGATAGTCGGAGCGAGCCCCCAGAGAAAGCCTGCTGCTGTTGTTGTTGGCCTGAACTACGTCTTGATGTTGCTGGAGCGCTGCTTGAACTCCCTAGCGAGTTTCGACGAGAGAGGCGACTGTCCTGGGAAGATCGCGACATAGCTCGATTGCTCGTATGACTCTTTCAAAGATCTTAAGCAGCTATCCCTGCCCCCAACTACTGTCTTGTATGCCTAGCGGTGAGGTTAACAAACAATCCAACACTCTTTTCTTCAACCAATTTGACCTGATTGGAGGAAAAACAGTCAAAAGATTGAAGAGTTAAATAAGAGCAAGCGAGGCAAACTGTATCCATTGACTCGGGAGCGTACCTTGTCAGGGCGATCGCATATAAACGTCCTTCAAAATGGACATGTTTCAATAAAATACACGCCAACTTGAAAAAGTTGTTTTCATTCAACAAATCAAAGAGTGACAGCAGTGCCTTAATAATTCTCTATGCTAAATGCACCAAAGATACAGTTGGTTTTAGGAACGTGATCGACGTGATCGACGTGATTTGCTGTCTACCAGATCAGCCAAATGCATTACTATAACAACCGTCAGTCGAAACCCTTTCTTTTCTCGATATTCGATCAAAGAGCATTATCCTTCTTGCCATTATTCTTGTCAGGAACTACTTTGATCCTGTACAGAATGTTGCTACGCAATTGAACACCGTAAACGAAAAGAGATGCCAAGAAGTTCAAAAGAAGCAGAATCCGACACATTTGAGGGATGTTTTCCATTTGCTTCACCTTTCTTCCAGACCCGCTTATTGACACACGTTTTCACTGAAAAGCAAGAAATCAACAGACAAGTCAACGACGTGGTCAAAGTAACTGATACAGTGCAAACCGTATATGTGGGTAACACTGAAAACCTGTTGCAATTTTGAAATGGCAGTCTCCTTTTCGAAGGTCTCTGTCCTCATTGTCACACCATGTGTAGAGAGCATTTCCTCAAGCATTTTGTATCGTGAATTACAGAAATGTTATTATAGATGAAACTTCCTTGAAAAAGCAAAGATCTTGATATTCATTTCTAACACAGTTACAAGGTTTGCTTCAAAGAGTTACGTTTCACCACCCAAGAGTTCAGGCTTTGAGGAAATAGAGGCATACCCTCAGTTACCAGATATGGATCATGTGCAATCAATATAGTGACATTGGGCTCCAAGTGGAGTCGATTGACTTTGAGTAGTGTTTGCCAAGCGTCTTCAATGTTATGATGCACACCAAGTTCTCGACCGTTCAAAAGAAGCGATCCAAACTGGTTGAGCTGGGTGGAGAAATGTCATATGAGCTCGTATTGCTAAAATTACCGAACGCGCTTCAACGGCTACCTTCATAAACACGTCCCGGTGATGGCAACAGTCTAATTCGAACACTTAGATGAGATACGTTACATTCATATAGAGACTGAGAAACACTCTCACCTCCTCCCAAAAAGATGAATTGGTTGGCAGCCACTCTCACAACCCCACATAAATGTCCTGGACAATGTCCACGAGCGTCCACAAGATAGAAGCTTCCGTCGCCAAAGAAATCATAGCTAGTTTCAAATGGTCCAAACGGCACTGGCTGCATCTTGACTTCAATTGAGTCGCGGCCATCAGTCAGGTTGATACCATCAGCTCTATGAAATCCATTTGGATTGTTTGGCCAGGCCTCTGCTGTATGTGCTTTACTCCCAACGCCGACATATAATTTTGATTTTGGGAATTTGTATATATCTCCAGTATGATCAAAGTGGGAGTGGCTATGTTTGGAATGAGGATCAGTCATCATCGCCCTTACAGTGTAAGAGTCGTTAACCAAGACAAATACCCGCCTGTACACAATGGAGTCAATGTCATCAGGACTGATACCACCTCCTTGTAGTATTTCAGGAGCATCCTTCTCGATTGTGATTCTATACAGCGGCATAACAATCTTTTTGCAAAATGGTGGGTAGCTTTCGAGGTCCTGCAAAGATATAAGTGTCAGCGAGCGGTGTTTACACGCACGTTGAGACAAAGAGCATGGACATAGACACTCGATCAAGCCAAAATTGTAAAAATACATGCCTTCCTGAGTCCCAAGTCAAATAAAACCTCCTTGCCATTTGGATGTCGCAAGAGGAAAACAAATGAAGGCATGTTCACAAGTTCCTCAGGATTCACGGTGGTTTTCACGACATTTCTCTTTGGATTTTCAAGCTAAGAATGTGACGAATCAGCGAAAACGTACTGGTGCTCCTTCCTTCCAAAAGGCAAAAACTCAGACTCACATATCCTGCCGCAAATACTGAAACATCAATGTAGGCCTGATTATACTGGTCTTTTACTAGCTTATGGAATGGTAGGGACGCAACAGCAGCCTTGTCTTGCTCCAAAGTATTATTCATGATGGGCTCAAATCCAAGATTTCTTGTTGGTAATAGTTCAAGTGTCACAAGAAACTGAGGCTGACACACACGCTTTCAACTCACGACCAGCACATAGAGGATATATCAGGTGAAAACACTCTGAGAAATGTCGCTACCCGACTACTCGAAAGCAAGTTATGATTTGGCTCTTCTGCTTTAGTTGTGCTATTTAAACCAATTGGTTTTTGACCACAGATTCCAAAAAGCGCATCTGGAACTGCACCGGGTCTTAATCGTCTGGCTAAAAAAGTCATTCTGGTGGTCGGAGGTGGTCAAGCTCCCTTTCCTGTAAGTCCTTTGGCTGCAAGGATGCGAACATCAAACATCAATCTTGAACAATTCAACTTGACAACACAGAACGTGGATAATCCACCATCCGGCAATGGAAGAGCGTGCAGCATGCTTCTAGCTCGTGAAGGAGCATTTGTTGGAGTATCAGATCTATCCATCGAGTATGCTCAAGACACGGTAAACTCTATACTGCAAGAAGGTGGCGAAGCAGTTGCTATCCAAGCTGATGCTACCAAGGAACAAGACGTCATTCGAATGCTGAAGGAATGCATGGCCAAAGCTGGTGGACGGAAATTGGATGGGATCGTTCTCAATATTGGTATTGATGCTGGGCATAATGGATTGAAGGGTACTTCAGTAGACCAATGGGACAGAGTGAGGATCTCGCATACTGACATTCATGCTTGAAATACCGATGCTTAATAATATGAATATGTCTGTAGAACTTTTCAGTAAACGTCAAGAGCCATTTCTTGACTCTCAAACATGGAATGGAATGCATGAACGAGCACGGTTCTATTGTGCATATCTCGTCAATAGCTGCTAAAAGGCCAGGAAGTAATATGCCGGGCTACGATTCGTCAAAGAGTGCTATTCGCAGGTATATGTTCACAAATGAAGGTCTTTTTTGATCCAAACCTTTCAACTCACATTGAGCTTTTCAGTTTGGCGTTTCACGCTGGAAGGGAAGGATCTGCTAAATCAATACGTGTAAACGTTGTCTATCTCGGCATGATGGATACGGCCAATGGCCGTAATGCAACAAATCTACGACCATCTAGAGTCAAGGCCCGTGTGCCATTGGGGCGACAAGGTACTGCCTGGGAAGGTGCTTATGCTGTGCTATTCTTGCTGAGCGATGAGAGCTCCTACGTCAATGGTATCGAGATACTTGTTGATGGGGGTGTCAGTAACCTATAGGGCATGTAAAAACTAACTTTTAAATAATTTGAAGCGATGACATTCTTGCTTGTATGACAGGTGGCGACGTGTTCTACACAGCAGGCTCGGTTTGCTTCGAGACGGAAATTCGCAGTTATGGAAGCCTTGCCTTGGCAAGTTTTTAGCTTCAGGACGTCTAGCAGCGAATTTGTCTGAATTCGTCTGCTCTCAAGCCATCCGATGGTGTATCTCGTTCGTAGTACTCATCGACAAGGCGTACCAGCTTGAACGACTTGCGGTTGTTCACTACCATCACTAGTCAAGAGTATGAGGACAACCATGGTACAAAGTGACGCGGTTTACGTCTTTCATAGACGAATAAGCTCTCTCTGCTTAAAGCACCGGCTTACTTTCGACCTGCACTTTAGATCTCATAGTCCTCATTGCCTCATCTTCGCGCTTCAAAGCAAAGTCTCTTCAGAGAACAATTCTTCACCTCCAGAGTAGAAAACATACCTCCAATCATTCAGATTCACACCTTAACGGCCGAAGTTCTACTCGACATCACGTCACAAGCGAGAAGCGTAAGATCATCAAATCAAGATCTATGGCAAGGGATGGCAAGCCCTGCAAAGGGGAATCCAATGGAGGAATCTCGGAATTTTTTATTGGGTTCAGCCGAGAGTCCTTGCTGTGGATTGTTTGCTATCTCTCGTTGGGTCAGATCAATTGAGCCATCTGTCGAGAGTCGAGAGACGAGAGACGACCCGTTCAAGAAGATAGTAAGGGAATCGGTACCTGTCAATCAGTTCGATGAATCTTTGCTGCCGATTTTTCTCTCATTGGTGATGATTTTCCATACGGGATCTGGGACAACGGACGACGAACAACATGTTGTCAAGACGTGTTGAACCTTCACTCAACACTAAGACAAGAGCAGGCAAAGTCCTCAATCCTCTAGCTTCCATGACTTGTAATCTGACATTCGAGGTGTCAGCGAGTCATATTCTGTGGTTTTTGAAGTCGTAAAGAATACGGACTTCATCCTCCTGTCGGCAGGTGTTTGGCTGCGAAAGGGTCGGGCTCAGGAGATCAGCCAATGCGTCTTGGAATATAGATTAACTATAGATTCCAACGGTCGTTTCAGGTTGTTTTATGGTGTATTTTATACCAAAGGCGGTTTGCTTGTTGGAGAGCAGAGCGCTTTAAGCAGGTCCAGCACAGTGAATGCTTCAGAATGGAGCAAAATTACGTACGCTCATGGTAGTCCGTCTGTAATCTAGTCTATCGCTTATCAGAAAACGGGCGTGTGTAATTACGACTGAACGATGGTGTATACCCACTAGTGGAGTTTTGGATTCTTCCCTATCGTGCTCTCTGCCTTCATCATCCATTAGGAACGTGTAGATCCTCCTTCTCACCTAAAACAAATACGCAAACGAAGTATATCTAACAAAGCAGTAAAATAAAGTGTAGCCTCATGAAGAAAAACACCTCTCAGAAGAGAATGAAACCTTTATGACTCTCTTGCTATACTCTCTTAACGGTGTTTGCATGTGTGGATGTACAGCATTCGCAGTATTAGTCTTCCAGCTCTCTCGACGCGTATTGCTGAGTCCAGAAAGGAGTGCCAAGTACCAGCTTCGATATCAAAGCACGTATCTAAATTGAAAAGCTGCTTGCCTCTCACTTTATATCATTTTCGTTCACTCCGTTCACTCACTATCACAACTAACACTTTCACGACATAGTAGCTAGCAATGGCACGTAAACAAGCCACTCCAGGCAAAGAGAAGAAGGAGCCAAAGGTAAGTTCATACTTGGAATGCGGTGAATGTTTGGCTTACACCGTCGTTGCTTTGGTCGTCGTTTCATTATTGTGGTTTTGGGAAATCGAAACATCTCTGCACTATCAGCTCGAGTACTGATCATACTTCTTCTAATTATTTTAGGCAGGTACGTCTCCATTCGAACTCTCTTTGGATCAGCTCATTCGTTCGTTCTCATTCAACATTAACACTGCCAAACATTTGCAACCAAATCCTCACTTCCACCCACTTCATTAGTCAAAGAAGCTCGAGCTCTAAAGCAGGCCAAAATAAATGAACAGGCGTTTAAATGGATACTGCCCGGTATAGGTGTTGCTTTCTTTATCTTTTCAATGAGTAAGTGTTGCAATTTGATGAATGAAGGTTTACACGAATGTCTTAACAACAATTTTATGTACTTAGTCATGTTCTGGTTGTATGGATTTGGTGAGAGGACGGGCCGAAGGATAGTGATGCCCCCAGCTCCGTTTCCTGAGGGTGGTTAGGTTCCATTTGAGCCAGAAAGTAGTTCGTTTTTTTGGCCTTTTGGACTATGGGCACCTTGCCTCTACTTGAAAACGTGCTATATATCATGCAAGACCTAAAGCATACAGCAGACACGCACATGCTGCTTTATAAAACAAATCTTGGTATATTATTATGTCGAAAATACAAAAACACATTGTAACAAAGACCAAAAAACGCCCCTTGTTACACTACCCTACACTTTCTTTACCACCCGTATCTCTCTCTCTCTCTTTCTCTCTCTCTCTTTCATCATCCCTGCATAATAACCAAATCGTTCAATGACTCCTGTCCTTCAATCTTGAGATGATTCTCATTGGCAAGATGCAAGACACATATAAAGCAAAAAGCCACGGAAATGTCTTTGAATTTACGTTCTGGGTAGACTGATGATAGTTCATGTACTACATCAGAGAATTTTCGTGTATCGGGTACTAGCTCTGTTGGGTTTGCTGTTGATTCACGGCCTAATGGTGTAATCATTGGAGGGTCCGTAAAGATGTTGGATGAGCGACGCTATAGAAGTGTTATTGGAGGTGGAGTGTTAGAATTGGTTCTCACGTTCCTGTCCCCTGACCACTTTCTTTTCGCTTTCCAGACACTGCTGTTCAACCAAACGCAAACATACCTTTGTAGGATTCCTCACAAGCTCCATCCAAATATTTTGCTTCAAGGCTCGTACATCAACCCGTTTAGCAGCTCGTGCATAGTTCAAAGGTACAATTTTGACCTTCTTTGGCTGCTCAATCAACTGAGACGCATAATCTCCAGCAGTAGATCCAGCCATAGAGTAGCGGCGCATATTGTCGTCTGATGGCATCATGTGATTGATTTGAGTCATGGGTTCCATACCGTCATCAATGTCATCATCGTCGTCATCGAATCCAAATGGATCGTCTGGGAATGGTCCTAAGGAATAAGTGGTGAGCCAAAAAGTCGCCGAGTTAGATATATAATAGCAGTAGCTTGATGTACCTAGCTGCTCTGGTTGATGACCAGCACCATTCTCGACATTGTTCTCTGCTCGAGCGTCTGCCCAGAATTGAGCTTCAGCATCGTCTGCATTGACATTTTCTAGAAATGGAGACAGGCTTTGAGTAAAAAAGGACCTGACCGTCTTTAAATCTAGCGAAAACTTACTATTTTGCGTAACGACCTTGGCTGAACCGTCCTTTCTTCTAAATTTGATCTATTGTATTCACAAAAAAGGTCCGTTAGCAAATCGCATTTTTTGCACTCTTTCTGTATCCTTTGTTTTACCGTGCAATCTGGTTTGAGAAATAGTTTCAACAAGTCCTTTGACGAGTAATGTAAATCATCAGGAAGAAGATTCTTTGTCTTTGTCGTCACTGCCCAAGCAGTTTTAGACAAGGTCGTAGAAGTAGGCCCAGGTGCAAACAATTCATCAAGATTAGGTCTTGTTCCAGTTGCAAACTTGATAACAAAAGGTTCCTTGGCTTTGCGTCCCCTTTTCTTTGTTGCTGCTGCACCCAAACCTTCTGTTTTGGCTATTGTGAGATGGAAGGGGATGAAAAACATACAATTCTGACGACCAAAACAACAAGCCCTGTCTCGACGAAGGTACCTCTTGAAGCGGACTTGAACTTCCAATGTTCAGGACCAGCCCAACCACGTCTTGTAGTAGAATCAAAGTATGAGAAGAGGCCATCATCTTCAGTCTCATTGGAAATCACATAATGTTTCTCTCCCAATGTCCCTTGCACATACTCTTCCTTATCACCACCTGCGTTGCCATTATCATTCCTTTTACCGTTACCATTGGCTTGTTGATGCTGGTCTTCATTATTATTCTGATTATTCATTCCATCATCAGAACCCATTGGCATATCATCGTCCATATAATCGTCGCCGGCACCACCTCTATCACCATAACCGACTTGTTGAGTATCATCGAATGCAGCAAACGGATCATCATCGTCGTCGTCATCGTTCGGTTTGGCACGCTGTGATGATAGTTCGTCGTCTTTTGGACGTTCGGGAAGGAGTTTCGAGGGATCAAAGGGTAGAGCAGCATTGTCGGATGAGAATTCGAATGTCTTTAATGAGGGACATATGTCACGAGTCCACATGGTGGTTAGAACCACATCGAATTTCACTGAAAGAGAACAAGAAAGGTCAGCTTGAGGTCCATGCTTGATTCCGTCCATATAGTATTTTTCTCCACATACACTTCAGTTTCGTCAAATTCACCATTGTAGATTCCGTTATAGTAGCATTAGGATCCACAACGTCCTTGACAGTAGCATCCGAAGCATCGAATATCATGTGTCCCGTATTCGAGATACACAGATGATTCAACAAGAGACCACGAGCACCACCTTCATCGAAATCGGCTGAAGTCTTTTTGAAGAGTGGGTCTACCATGAACTCTGAGTCAAACTTTTTGACATTGAGCTGGTTGATGTCTGTTTCTAGAGTTCGCCCTGCTCGATTTGCCTGTTCATTTAAGGGGAAGAAAAAGCTCAGCGAAGACGAGGTCATTCGTCCTGTCGACAATTGGCTTACTCTCTTCCTGGTCTTCTTCTGCTGACCATTTCCATCTTCGTTCTCGTTTTCATCATCACCGTCGACCTCTCCATCAGCTCGTCTACGAGAGCCTACAACACAACCAAGGGATGATTGAGCTAAAAAATATTACGCAAAACAGACTATAATAACTTACTCAATTCAGTAGCGGAATCGACCAGTCCACTGAGCAACTTGCGGGTCTCGGCATCTACAGAATCTACACGGGAGGTATAGATCTTGACACAACCGTCCAGTGTACAGGAAGCCTTTGTGAAGTTGATTGAGTCTCCATCACGCAAGAGAGTCAAATCATGAAAGTAGTCAATCAATGCGAGATTCCATGAATTGTTTGCATTGATTTTCTATAAACAGAGTGTGTTTGATTAGTAAAATGCGCAAACCAAAAAAGGGCGAGCAACTAAGGGCGTACATTGTCAGCAGCAATCTTCATCCACTCTTCAAATCTCTTGTTGACTTCTTCAGGAGATAGACCAGTAGAAAGAGGACCAGAAGGTTGATCATCGTAATCGGTGTTGTTTCTGCTTGATGGAGGCAATGGTGGTCTTGGACCAAATGATTTACGTCTTCGAGATTCCTCCACGAGAGACTGTCTACGCTGTCTCTTTTCAGCTTCATCGTTATTCTTCTGAGGCCTATTAGTACTGCTCGTAGCAGAGCTGCTCGCATTGCCTCTGCCTTGTTGTGGAGTGTCTGGCGTTGTCGGCGTTTCCGAGACAATGACTCGTTTCGTTCTTGCCTTCTTGGGAGTTCCTGCTAGCATGATGATGCTCTCTACTATGCTCTATAGGGTGCCCTTGTCTACTTGTCTGATCCTCTTGATTTGATATACTTTCTTATATGGCGATTTTGCGAAGTTTTGCTGATTTTGCTGCGAATGATTGACGAATGAGAATGAGGGAATGAGACCAAACTAGACCATTTGGACACGTCAGACGCGAGGAAATATTATATAAATTTATATACAGTTTTATTCATGTACTATATTGTCTATCATTGGGATGAGAGCAATGCTGGTTGCGAAAACTCGACCGAATCCACTGGTGTTGTTTGTAGTTGCTGATGATTACTAGCACTGGCCTGTCTTAGTGCCCTAATATAATCCTTATGGGCTTGCAGGACTGCTTCGTTCTTGACCTGAACTCCTCCAACACTCTTGATTATAGTCGCTGTTGTTGGGAGCGTGTACGATGGGATTGACTCGTATGGATTCGGGATTGCTTTAGCTTGTTCAGGTATGCTTCTTCCTGTCAGCATACTGTAAACATTGCACAGAAACATAATTGCAGCTTCTTGATGACAGTTCAAAACCTGTGATTTCAAGTTTTTAGCGAGTAATAGTGAAGACCACATTCTAACCGTCAGATACTAACCGCATGCATAGCTTCTTGGGGCACTTGGATACCCTTTCGCTGGAAAACTATCAAATCACATCAGTCTCTACCCTTCTTCGTATATCATCAACATCAACGCGGCCTTACATTTGGACAATTGTTGCTACAAAAAGAACGTGTTAAACCATATCATCACACTGCAGCTGGATTTTGAACCACCAAACTTACCCAATTATCTTCTCTCCTCTCTCGAGAATCCCCCGTGTAAAGCAGATTCACCTGCAACTCTCCGACGAAATATCTCGACAATATTTCTGCTATCAAGACTCCATTGGCAAAGTCCCTATTGATTCGAAGACGCGTCAAGACGTGATTCAAGAATTTTCCTTCTCCCGATCTTTCTCACCTCTTGGGATTATGAAAGGAATGGGACAAATCAAGCGATTGCAGCCACCTCAATACTTCACGTGGAAAACTCATTTTTCTGCCAATTCAAAGGATTTAAAATTGCAATGTCGTCGTGGTGTCGAAGAAGCCGGCCGCTTAGAGCAAAAACATAATTCCAAGATTGGAGGGATACCCTACCTGAGAAAAATCCTCCACCTGGCAATCGTGATTGGGTACCGAAAGGACCCTTTGTTACACGCTGCCCATATCTGAATAACACCAGTCGTTGTTTCAGCTTCCGTAAGACAACCTTGAGGGCGTCTCCCTGCAGGAAAGAGCGCGATCGCCAATCCCCCACCTTGTGACCATCCGTTGGAAGGAACCACCTGTGCGGCTTTCTTCTCCAGTATCAGCAAGCTTGACTCAAGCCTTCGCCGCCATCTGGAGCTATAAAACAAATCATCTCGCCAAACCGATCTTGAAACCCGTATTTCTTGACTCAGTAATTTTTTTTCGACTCAGGCCTATTTCAAGAGAAACTTATTGCGACAACCGGCACAAGCAGATCACGATAAAATCTTACTGGTGCTTGCCGAAAATATAATATGGATTTCGGATTAGCTGAAGCAAAAAGCTGGCAACCATACAAAGTCACACTCACCCAACATTGCTCTGATGAGACCATTAGTAGTGCCGTACACGAAAAAAGTGTAGATCACGTCAGTACTATAACAGTACCTACTCTATGTGTTGAAGACCCTGACGGTCAAAAGCAACAGAAGGGATATGCTCCTGTATTGAGTATACCACGTCTAGGTATTTGGCCAGATTTCCTCGATTCTTTTGCTCCTGCTGATTCTGATACCGTCTCGCCTACTGTAGAACGAAGATTGTCTGGATACATTGGAGACGACACAAAATCTAGACGTGCGTCAATCTCATCACCAGATTCAGACGGAACAGCCCATTCTTCGCCAGCAACGTTGCAAGAGGCAGCTGCTACAAGAGCACAACTCTTTAATCCGACATTCTTCAATGAATTGGTGTTGGCTAGTCCTGAAATTGCTAGTCTTTTCCAAAAGTATGTTTGGCATTCATTTAGTTCAGCTCGGCTTGTCTCACCTCTCTGCTAACGATCATTTGTAGTTTCTTGTCTTGTAAAGAAGACGAACTTGAATCCGTTTATGACTTTTATAACAAAGTTTGGCAAGTCGAGTAGGTGAAAGCTATACGTTGAGGCACAGACCTTTTTGGTATCCTTGAGTATACCCTATTCAATCTAACATATTTATTACTTATTTTCAGACAAAAACACCTCGAAATCGAAAACCTAGTTCGCAAAGTGTGGGCCGACAATATCGCATCTGACAGCAGCCAAGACATTGGAATACCAGCTGACATTCGAATGCAAGCCAGTGCACAATTACGACCGTTCTACGACAAACTACAAGAATCAAGTCGGCACAATCCACTTGCTGCTGCTCAGAATCACGCTTTCGAGGTATCTTATAATTTGGAAGTACAATCTAGTCATGTAGAGTTATATGTTTATTTTTGCCGTTGACTTTTTTAGACATGGCTTAAACCCGTGTTTGAAGACTTTCTTGCCAAAATCATACTTTATGATGCAACTCGAACTATAAATACACCACTAAGTGACGAGACAGTTGTGGTGGAGCAATCCCGTGGCCATGGTGTTTCGTATTATCTGATTGACGCTACGCCACAAGAGCCTGAAATCTCAATGGTGACTGATTTGCTGGTTGCGTCAACTGGTTATGTAAGTTATTTTGCAAGGTTTGGTCTGTGGTTTTGGTGAGTGTCGTAATAATAACGCGGACAAAATGTTACTGTTAGAAACCTATTGATCTGTGTGGACGTCCATGTGAGTGTTGAGAAACTTGTTTCGTTCTGCCATTGTGTGTTTTTCTGCTGACTTTATTTGTTAGTTTTGGACACTCTTCTGGACAACCAATCGCGTGACGAGAATCTAGTATCACGGTTGTGTAATACTTTGTGCTATTCGATATCGTCTGGCGAGGTAAGCTCGATACAGTTTGTCGATCTGGACAACTTTGGAAACAATCACCCAATGTTTTCTGTTCATTATTAGCTGGTGTACACAACTCATGCAGACAACACACAAAGTAATACGCGAAGAAGTAGTCATATTCCTTTTGTTTCATACATATTGCTGACATTCGTTAACTAGGATGGTCTCTGATTACTCACTCTCCGTTATATGACGCACAATGTAACACGCCCTTCATCCTCTCGGGACAGTAAGCGTCTATTTCTTGCTAGTCTGAATGCAATTGATGTGACATGTCTGAGCAACAATTGCTTCCATTTAGAATCAACGTCTCACCACGCCTAGACTCTGTCTCCAAACTCCACTCCCTATTAACCGACTTAAAAGAATCCATCTCAGCAACAACACAACCACCATCCTTCACAACCCACGAACTCCCCACATCCAATCGAAGTCGAAACCCCTCCATCTCCGGCACACTACCACATTCATCTAGAGAAACATCATCAACCCCAAAATCTGAATTGGTCGTTCCACATGTAAGGACGAGACGGGCCTCCATATCTGCCAAAGTAAGCGCTGTATTGACTGGAACGGCCAGAATTGACAGCGGGACTCCACCACGTTCATTGCTTCATTGGATGACTGGACATCATGCTGCGCTTGTGGCGGAGAAATCGTTGTCGCCAGTAGAGATATTGAATGAGCAGAGGATGCAGATTGAAGATTCTGTAAGTGCATCTTGTTTGGTAATCTTTTTTGATGGCTTTTTCCCCGACGTCATACGAATACGGTTATATTTTTCACTTCACAGCATCCCGATCGGCAAGTAATGGTCCTAGACTGCTCATCATCTGCTGAACCCCGTATCCTATATACAACCTCCGATCTCCGCTGGGTCTTCAAAGAGGGAACCAAACCACGTCTCTTCGAGAGCATCTTGCAACGAACTCCAGAAGCTGAGTTGGGGTTACGACATTCGCTCTTCTCACTCAAGACTACGCAAAGTCATGTATACCTGGTTGATTCTGGACAGCATAGATTGTTGAGCTTGTCGCCCTTGAAGGATCATGATGGTTTTGGAGGGTTGTTTGTTGCTGTGCTGTCAGGTTGATCATGTGGAGGTTTCTTGTGCTATTTGTATCTAGCCTTGTAGTTATGGATTTGTGCCTCCATCATTAGTTAGTAAAGCTGTTTCTTCTCTCGGTACAAGAGTTTCATCATGTGCGTGACCTGGACGTTTTTGTCGTAAGGGCAGATTTTGAGAGTTTGATCATGACAGTTTGACTCAGTTCCAGCCAGTTCTGGGCCGTAATACACCTTTTCAAAACCGGTATTGAGCCTGCCAAAACTGAGGATTCGATCCGCCAGTTGAAATTTTTCTTGGTTCCAAACGTAACGCATCCGCACGATAAGATTCACGGCCGGGAACCATGGGAATGGTATGGTCTGGAAGTGGTGTGGACTAGAACCTTGGGCGGCGTCTTCGAAACCCTCATCAACCGGGACCCCGTAAAGACTTCGTCCAATCACGGATTGGAACAACCCCCAAAATGTCTCCGCTTGGAACAACCGCGACCTGTTTTGTGTTATTTTAAAGACCCACACATATTTTCTGTTCTATCATTTTACGTCAATTGTTTCATCATGTCAACTTAGGAGGCCTTGTCCGTTCTATTGTTGAACCTTTCACATTTACACTATTGACCGACTTGCCAGTCGACCCGTGATTCCAAAAGCCTATCTCTCTCCGTCTTTCGTCGAATTCCCCAACCGCCACACTACGAGATTTCAATCGTTCCTTCAAATCCAACAAAGATATGGATTTTGGATTTACAGAAGCCAAACGTTGGCAGCCATGTACATGCTCTGACGAAACAGTCAGTTCAAAATACGATGAAGAAAAGCAACTGTCAGTTCACACCATGGCAAAGGAGACCGTTACGTCATTGGAAAGCTTCAAAGATCAGAAAGCTGGGCATGGGAATGGTAAGTTTTACAGTTTTCAGGCTTCGACCAGGAGCTTCGTTTTCTTAACAGTTTTCCTTTTTCTCCTTCGTCTCTGCCTGCTTAGGACGCGGAGTGTACACGTATTTAGGATTGGATCTTCGAAAGTCTCGATCTCCTCCAAGACTGTCGCCAGATTCAGATGTTACTGCTTTATCCTCTGCTACAACACCAAGTGTATCTCCCACCCATGTGCGAGTATTTGATCAAAAATATTTTAACGAACTGGTGCTCTGTAATGCAGAAGTCTCAAGACTTTTTCAAAAGTAAGCCGTAACATACATGTTCTCTCTTGTTGCAATGCTCGTCTCTCAATGCATAGAATTCCATTTGCCTTCCTAGTTCCTTGTCTTGCAAAGGAGAAAAGCTTGAATCCGCTTATGACTTTTACAACAAAGTTTATCATGTTGGGTAAGCCAAACCCGTTATGTTTTCAGCGGACAATCTTTTTTATTTCTTGCTGGGTAGATTAGGATCTGTTTAACACACCTAGTCCTTTTTCTTATCAGACAAAGACATCTTGAACTCGCAACGCTAGTTCGGAAAGTCTGGGCTGATAGTATGGGATCTGACTGCAGTCACGATATGGGTATACCAGCTGATATTCGAATACAAGCACGCAAGGAATTACAACCCTTTTGCGATAAACTGCAAGAATCAAGTCATCAAAATCCATTGGTTGCTGCTCAGAATCATACTTTCGAGGTAATGGATACATTTGAAAGTACAACATTACACGTACTGATGTTTCGTTATTGACTGTTGTAGCAATGGCTGAAACCAATGTTTGAAGACTTTCTCGCCAAAGTCATACTTTACGATGCAACTCGAACTGTTAGTACACCACTAAGTGACGACACAGTCGTAGTGGAACAGTCTCGTGGACATGGTGTTGCTTATTATTTGATTAATGCTACATCGCAAGACCCTGAAATATCCATGGTTACTGATTTGCTGGTTGCGTCAACTGGTCATGTAAGCTGGTTGTGTGTGATATTTTTGATATCGAATATTGCTGACTTACTGTTATCCCAGGAACCTGGTGATTTGTGTG